AGCCTTGGTGAACAAAAGAACTGTCTGTCTGTCTCTCTTCCTGACAATGACGAAGTCCTGATCCTTGTTGTGTTCTTGTTCTCTTTGTTATTTCGACAGCATGTGTAGGGTCCCCATCAGCCGCGGTAAACTGGCTAGGGAAGGATGGAGCAGGCAACGTTTGGGATACCTTTTCGAATCCCGTGGGGATCCGGGTTAGAATAGGTCCTCAGTACTCCCTTGCTTGTCGTAAAAGGCGACTAAATGGGGTGGTCCTTCGGATAAGACCGTATAAACGAGGCCCCGTGTCACAGTAGGTGTGGCACGATAAAGACCCCTCCCTGCTCAAAGGCCTTAAGTGCCTAGCACAGGCCTAAATTTGCAGCCCTTCACCGGCAATGGTCTCCATATCAGTGAAATATTCTGGAGAGGGACGTTAAACAGTATACAGTCAATCAATTTAATCCGCTCCTCTTGCCATGGAGGTGAGCAGTGCGTTCCTAAAGAGGGCTGCTCAGTCGTACAGGTGGCTGCCGAACTCCAACGCTGTTCCGGTCGGTGAAGAGCGACCATATGGCCTGTGCTGCCTGTGTGCATGTCCGCGACTACCGACTTCCAGTGAACCCGTACCTGTCACCACAGGGCTTTGGAGTGGATGGTAGAAGGGATGGAAGATGATCAATGACTTGCGCGATGAGTTAGATTAAAATGAAGAAGGGTTGCGCGTCGCCGACCTCACTCTCTCGCCCGCAACCATCTAGATCCAGTGGCAAGACAGATGTCAGGACGTCTGGAGATGGAGACAGATACAGTACAGGATGACCAAGAGTGCTATATGTACCTTGCCTTGCTCCAACATTCCACGGTTGAACCATGACGGTTTCCTCCTCAGAGTCCACCGGTGTACAGTCTTTACATGCGTTATACCAGGTAGGTAGGCAAGCCCTCACTCAACAGGGTTTGAGAACCGTCAGCGCTTTGTGTATAGAGTGCTCTCCTAGAGGGATCTCCCTTAAGAGTGTACATGTTCCCTCTACCAGGACTACCCACTACCCACAAAGCACATATGATTGTGCACATATTTTGCTTAATTTTGATGTCAAAAATATTTAATTTATTACACGTTTAACTAAGATGAACATACACGTGTCCAATTATCACCATGGTTTAGCATGAAATTAAATAAATAAAACATTTTACGTAAAGGCTGTACTTGAGATCTGATATATTCACAATATCTTTGTTAATTAAATAAAGAATATACGCACAGGGTAAATCAAGGGGATTTTCATTTTTAGGACAGGGATAAAGATTTACTATTAAATCAAGTTATATATATATTTGTTGCTGAAATAATGTTTTGAAATTTTAATACGTGATAAAAATTCTTTAAATAAAATGACCAGGCATGTTTTTGGTGTGAAAATTGTCACAGTAGTAATTTTTGCGTATTCCACTTTTATGATCAAGGGTAGAATTATATTCCAATATGATTTAGACGGCTCATTACAGAGCCAATATTGAATAATAACTGAACAGGGTAATAGCATGGTCTGCGTTCAAAAGAATTTTAAAGAAAATATCATCCGAAATAAGATAGAAATTGCGTTTTGAAAAACCAACCTTCTTCTTTCAAAGATATATCTGAGAGAACGAACAAGTTGGGTTTGTGTATATGAACGGTTGATACACCATTAAAGCCACAATCAATTGGATTCTATGATACATTTTTCTGAAGGTAGAGATTTATGTCTTTCAAAAATTAACTATGAAAATTATTCACCTGAGATAGTACCGATACTGAAAAATTCATGGCCTGGCTCATGGACTAAATTTTAAAATTTCCTATTATGAGGAAAACATTCATAAAAATCTAATTTACATCATTAATTAAATTCTGTTTTATTCAAACTGGTAATTAATTAAGCATATAAGAGGTTCTGAGTTATAGGTCAGATGGTCACAGGTTCTGAGAATTTCATACTCAATTTGACAAGTACATGTTCTGTGTAAATCATAGAATTATTTTGACTTTTTCCTTGGAAAGCCCAATATGTAGGAGTGTGTATTTAGAGGCAAACACCTTAGTGCGGGTATTACTGTCTCATGACAGCATCTAGTTAAAAATGTTAATGGTTAGATATTTGAAAAGACTGATTTATCAAAAATATGCCAGGCTCGTAGCATCGTTTTTGAAAGTGGGGGGGGGGGGGGGGGGGCTACCAGAGAAATTTTTTTTTACTTACCTGAGAAAGTTGACAAGCAAAAAAAACCCGGAAAATTTCAAGTTGCCCAAACTTGAAAATCCTATTTCGTTGGGGGGGGGGGGGGGGAGGGGGGGGGGGTACTGGCCAACTTTTTCAAAGCCAAGTTACATTCACTTCCAATTTATTTCCCACAATTTTCAAAGCCAAGTTACTTTCACTTCCAATTTATTTCCTACAATTCCTTGATATCACTATACCATAGTAAAATGTGTGGGGGTGGGGGTGAGGGGGGGGGGGGGGCAGCCACCCTGTCAATGAACATTTTCTATAGTAGAGGTAATGTTGGGGGGAAAAGTGGAGGGGTCAGCTCCCCCCCCCCCTCCTGTTGCTACGTCCCTGTATGCCAAAGTTAAATTAATGTTTTATAATTAAGTACAGTGTATTCAATGAATTTCAGAGTTAGAAAAAAGATAAATTTACGAATTAGATGTATTTATGTCCATAAAAGCCGTATTGTTGGTTTCACAGTTTGAGTTCTAAATATTTTATAAAGCGTGTTTCCCATGTTGGTAACATGTATATATTTAAAAGCAATAAAAAAATATAATTATATTTTATTTTATAACATATTGTTTTATTACATTTTGCGTTGTCTTCAGGGCAAATATAAAATAATGCAAAATGTAACAATGAAAATGCACGTCACTATGTTTTGCGTTGATCAAAATGTAATCTAAACATAATCTAAAAATCGTGTTGCCTCATTTTGCGTTATTACATTTTTCGTTGATATCATATGATAAAGTGAAGGCACCCATACTTTATCCACATGAAATAAACGACGCTCAAAAGACAGAGAACCTGAATTTTGATGGTCACCATGCTCATTTTGCTAAAGGATATCATTATCCACCCTTACTATTGCCGAGATTAGGCCATTTCTGACAAATGGACTGTTTTTGTTGTAAAAAAATAACTTGCAAGGTAAGAAATGTAAGAGTCGGAAAAAATTTAAGCTTCTGTGACTGGACGCTGCGGAGCATGTCACATGACCGCCTATAACACGTGATCTGCGCATGGACAGAATGGTTGCAGATGCGTATTAAAATAGGAGAGGACTACTTTGAAACATTTTTAACACTGAAATCCTATATCATTTCTTTTTTGGAAATTATTCAATTAGTTCGCGAACCTTTTGATCACCCCTCGGAAATGTAGTTTTTGGAGATAAAATATTCCAATAACCTGTTGGAATTCACATTGTCACTAATTGCGCGTCATTTGAATTAAGCAATATTATTTTTATGCATCATATGAGAATATTTGGCTGGTAGGACAGCTAAGAATAACCAATCCAAGATATGCAGTTTTGTGGATTATGTCATTTCATTTATTTTGCGACATAAAGACTGTTAGAAAATCACATGCGTAAAAATATCAGAGTACATGTACATATTCATAAAATATAACACAAAAAATTAATGAGTTAATCCTTGGAGGTGTCTAAACAATTATTTCCTATATAGCTTGTAACACGAGCTTTGATTGGTTACAGAGTCGGGTGAAAATTTCCGTGCACCCGACTTGAACCGGGGGTAAATAAAACGTCTCGTCGCAATGCATAGTTTTTTCTATGATACAACGGAATTAATATGACGTCACGATGCATTGTAGTACGTAGTAAGTTTTCTCGATAGGTTGAGACACAGTTGATTAGACTCTGATGTTTACAAAGAGATTTATGGGTACATAGGAAATGAATTCGCCATCCAGGTCCAATCAAGGATGGACGGGGTTTACCCCGGGTTGCATTCCAGACACCCTTCGGCCTCAGGGTGTACGGAATAAAACCCGGGGTAAATCCCCGTACACCCTTGATTGAACCTGGATAACTAATATTGCACCAACCCAAGAAAAATACAAAAAGGTATTGAAGTATACAATTCTAACTAGAATACAAAACCGAACCCTTAAAAGGATGGGTGGGGGGCTTTATTTTTCCATTGCATTAAACAGGTTTTGCAAACACGATGCAACAAAAACAAAAATTTTGATTGGTTTTAAAATCTGTAACTTTTCGACGGTGTAAAATTTACCAGATTTCTCATAGCGGCATAAATTGAATTATCTGTGAATACATTGTTTTTTATTCATTTGAAGCAAAAGTTATTTAAAAACTTCTACATGAAAGGAAGAAATTTCTTTCTGTTACCTTAGATTCATTTTCATTCCTACGTTGATTCAATTCAAATTGCAGATACAACTATGATATACGTACATTAATGACCGGTCGGCAGGGGAATGCTTACTCCTTTATAGCACCTGTTCCCATCTCTGATGTTTCTCAGAGACCCTTGTTTGTTCTGTTCCAAATATTTAATGTTTGAATGGAATATTAAAATTGATTACTGTTCGTGATCTTGATATTTAACTTTAGTCAAGTTCTTCCTCTTGTACAGTGTGTATATATTATACTTGTTCCGCATTCAGTATCCTTTTATATACATGTATTCATGGATCTTGACAAGAGAAACAAACACTTAATCAACTTATATGAATAATCTTTATTTCAATATGAAAAAAAATATGTAATGTACGTTTCTACTACTGTGATTACTCTCAATGCTAGTAGAATACATGTACAATTGTCTTAATACCAAATATGATATATTATGTTGTACCCTCAATCTAGCTTAATATCAATATTGTGCATGTATTTGAATTAAACATGCAGACAATTTTGTTAAAATATTAAACGGAGATGGTGCCGATATTCATGTATAAAAATCAGCTTCTTTTTTATTGCAAATTTAGCTTTGACAGAAGAAACGGATAAGGAAGGAAAACAACTTTTGAGTGTCATGGATTTTGGAGGACAGTGTGTCTATTACGCATGTCATCAGGTGTATCTCAGCAGAAGAGCTTTTTATCTGCAGGTGATAGATATGTCAAAGTCGTTTAGTGAAAAAGTCGACCCAGCGCTATGTGAACAAGAAGAGACGATGTTTGCTGACTGGACCTATGGGGGTAAGTGAATTGATAATTATATGGATGTCATTTTATTCCATGTGCTGATGAAAGTATAAAAATCTGTAAATTCTTTCGAAATATTTCTTACGGAAATCTTAGTTTTATTTTTAATCAGTCTGAAGTTGAGGTACAATGCAGTTACAATACCAATTTTGATGGATTTAAAGGCATGTATTTAATTTTGAAGAATACACGTCTGTTGTCATTTGAATGTATGATTGAAAATCGCCCTTACGCCTTGTCCTGATTTTGTTATATTAATCAAATTAATCAAAGGAATTGAATTTTCAATCCCACACTTTGTAAAAGTTCGGATTTATTATTGTTACCCTGTTCCGTCCGTCTGTCACACTTTCTTCTCTAACTCCTCATTTTAAGCAGTAACCAATTAATTTTTTAGAATATGATAAGAGATATCCTATAGATGTACAATAAGGTTTTGGAATTTTAAATTTAACCCTGGGGTCAAAACAGGGGGGCAAAAATGATATTTTTTCTACGAAAGACTTGTTCCAAGAATTCCTTAACCATTGATGCTGTAGTCTAATTATCTGTTAGAAGATGATTAGTTGTGTCCACTACATATGCAATAAGGTTTCGAAATTTTCAATCTTATCCTGGGATAGAATTGGGGTCGAAAATGATGGGATTTTTGCTTACCAAATCCTTGTTCCCAAAACTCCTCATACATTTAATGCAGTAGCCGAATCATATTTTGGAAGATTATCGGTGATATCCTGTTTATATGCAATAAGATTTCGGAATTTTCAAATTAACACTGGGGTTCAAATGGGGGGGGGGGGGGGCTTAAATTATTTTGTTTTCATGATTCCAAAAAAAAAAAACTCGTACCCATAACTTCGAATCTTTAACATTTTGTGCAGTTGCCTTTTAATCTTTTAGAAGATGAGTAATGGTGTTCTTTAGATTGCAATAAGGTTCTTAAATTTTCATATTTTTTCCTCCTCTGAGGTCAAATAGGGGTTTCTTTGTTTTTCAAGTAACCATGGCAACATCCTTCATGGACATCAAAAACTGATAAAACTGAATTATGTATGCAACAGCATTCATGGAAATCAAAACCTGATAAAACTGAATTGTGTATATGTTACAGTAAATATGTGTAACCAGGAATTTCACGTATTTCCTGAATTTTAGGAAATACATGAAATTACTATTCTGCTTAGGGAATACATGTATTTACTAATTTCAGTTAAGAAATACACGTAATTACTGAACTTTTCAATACTTTTTACATATATTTACTGACTGCGTTTTCGTGGGATAATTTAAAATTTGAATCATAAAATATGAATAGCGCACAGTATAATCAATGTTCATATCAGTGAGCATACCATATGTGAATAAATAATATTTGAAATAAACTTTTATTTATGTATAAATTTTGAAAATATATTATTTGTAAATATTAACTTAAAATATAATTATACTCTGCTTTCATTTTTACTGGAATGTGTTTTCTATATCACAACATACTTTGACTATTTTTTCAGTTATTTCTATACTTTTTTATTTAAAAAATTAAAATTGCTTACTGGCATTTCTTATTTTATTAGATATTCATTCAATGCCACATTTGTTGACTGTAAATTTGAAACCCTGAAGCATCTTATTTGCAAATAACACAATTTTTATGCTGTCTCCTCAAAAATGCAACAAACAACTCACCCCCTCCCCGAAATTAAATTCAGGAATTAAAATTAAAATTTACCTTTGAGGAATTTTGCACCCTAACAATTTTAATAGTTCAAAATAAAAAAAAAATTAAATAGAGTTTGAATTAACTGAAAATTGCAAAACATATCAATTTTACAATTTTAAAGATGTGAGACTCGAATAAACAGAAGTATCCCTTATATCACCATTTACAATTTGTACATTTTTTATAAATGTTATAATAAAAATTATTTAAAAACTATTTCAAATACATTATTCTGATGCTAAATGATCTAAATTCATAGCTTCTTTAGAAATATTTTTGAAATGTGAATATTACATACATGTATTATTAAAGACAAATGGTGCAAAGGTCATTAGAATCGAAGCAAATCTAAAGGAGGGTGTTCATGAATTTAACAAATTTTGCTCACCATGACAACAGCGTTCAAGGAAATCTAAAACTGCGATAAACAGAATAATGTATTTTGGTGTAGTCTACTTTTACTTGTAGATGGAGTACTGTTTTGAAAAAAGTTTGTGACATGAAGCTTTCACATGTTTAATTTGTTCTTGCTAAGTGCTTTTCGGAAACATTTTTCTTTTACCTTTCCATGTGAATCTTTGATCCCCTACTGTAAGGCCCATCCAACCATGGAGGTCATGATTAGGACAATCTTAAGAAAACGCTATGTTTTTGCTTGTTTGCTGTTTTACATCCCTCTCAAGATTTCTTGACTCATATGGAGACGCCACAGCTTGTCGGTGGGGAGCTGCAATTTTTTATCTATGCTCGGCACTCAAGGCCATTATATATTGATCAGTGAGGGATTTTTTTTGTGCCAGCACCAACTGCGACATGGGTCCTCGGTTTATACGGTCACATCCGAGGTACCGGTCTACACTCCCACAGTGGGACTAGAACCTGCGACGTAAGGATCAACTCCTTACTTAAGAAGTTTTCTTTTTTTTTTTGGAAATAAATGATTCCATATATCTCATTCTTATTTACCCTTGAAAGACGATGTGTGACCTTTCACTTAAACAACTTTAAACCTCTTCATCCAAGGATACTATTGAGCAATTTTTTGAAATATGTTTTCTTGTAAAAACGATGAAATTGTAAAAAGAAGCTATCATTAAAAGACCAGATCTTATAAAACGTTTTATTGAAAAATGCTTTACATGAGAAATAAAGTTTCTACTGTTTCGCCGTTCACGGTAGCTCAGTCGGTAGAGAGCTCGCTCCCTGGTCGGGAGGTCGTGAGTTCGAATCCCACTCAGGACTAACATGAGTCGATCAAAATTGGTAGCAACTGTTCCTTCGTCCTACGCTCGGCACTTTGAAGTGTATGTTGCGGGTCCCTCGAATGAGACCTTAAAAACCAAGGCCTCATGTCAGGGCAGGCGTTGGCGCAATAAAGATCCCTCACTGCTCAATGTCCCTAACTGCCGAGTAAAGGTCAAAATTTGAAGCCCTTCACCGGCATATGGTGACGTCTCTATATGGTTGAAAAATTCTTCAATCAGAAGTAAAACAACATACAATCAATCATTTATCTAAATATTTTAACATTAGATGTTGTTTCAAGAAAAGGGGTGGCCAGGGAAATCGGAAAGGGGATCATGGCACATTGTACTTTTTAATGTCATAATAAATGACGGCTTTAAGGTTTTCAATTTCATTTAAAGCCATCTGATGTTTCGACGTCCGAGGAATCGGAATAACACCAGCCACTAGCTTTCATATTTAACTTGTTTGTGGCATCCGATGATCTTTGACTCATTTGATAACTACAACACAACCATTTGAATTTCAAATTATTTACCCCATTCTATACCTATTTAAACTTGTACTTATAAACCTGACATAGGTACGTTCTGTCAACTTTAGTATATATAATCGAATCAAAACATATAATGAATTATTTCCTACCGATATAATAGTGTGCACCATGTGCAATGTGATAATGACTATGGTAAACTAGTATTCATAAGAAGATGCAAGCTCAAAAATTTCACCCCGCTTATTTTTTTTTTTAAATAATATAATTTACATCATTAATTAATATCTATTGTTTCAGACTAGTATTGAATTTAATTAATGAAAAAAGTACATAAGAGGACCATGAGCCACATGCTCACGTAAGCATTTACGCTCGATTTGACAAAAACATTCATATATTCTGTGTAATAAAGGATATGGAGATAACGAACGGTTTTCAATACCATTTCATATCGCCCAAGACACACCATGATGAAGACAATTTTAACTGAATCTATACCGGCTCGTTCGTCGCCCGGAACAATAACCGCGCCTTCCGCTTTACGCCAGAGGGGAGGTGATAAGTACATAAATGGTGCCCAAAGAACAAAACTACGTGCCAGAGAAATCATCGTCCTTGGCACTTGGAATACAAGAGCCTAAGACAAGACGCAAGGATTGAAGAACTGGTTTATGAGATGAATATGTATAACTGGAACCTTGTGGGCCTATGTGAGACGAGATGGAAACACATAGGTGAAACAACAATGGACGGACACAAGGTGTATTACAGTGGAAGGGATCGCAATTACAAAGAAGGAGTGGGTTTCCTGCAACTTAAAGACACAATCAGCACAGTCATGGGATGCCGCCCGGCCTCTAGTATACTTATCTCCATACGCCTGGAGGTAGCTCAATTTAACATCACGGTGGTGCAATCATGCCCCAACAAATGATTACGGTGACGAAGACGTGGATGAAAGACATTCTAGTGGTACAAGGTGACTGAAATGCTAAGGTTGGAATAGATGCTCAAGCAATCTGAAAGCAATCTGAAAGGATATTTGCGGACCATCATGCAACCCTACAACAAATGAAAGAGGTTATCGACTACCTGAGTTCGCCGCCACCAACAAGTTTGTGCTGGCAAATACACTGGGAGTTCTCAAACCATCTAGGAACTGGACATGGACTAGCCCAGATGGCAAATACCGAAATCAGAGTGAATACATTATGGTCCAAAAGCGCTTCAGAGCAAGGGTAAACACGGCACGCACGCGTACCTTCCATAGGTACATAGGAAGAAGGATATGGAGATAACGAACAGTATTCAATCTCAAAGTCCATAAAACAATACAAAATGGAAGCGATCACGATCTGCTTATGATGTCATTCAGAGTCAATCTAAAACATATCAGGAAATCCAAGTTTATCAGACTTCGATTTAACCTGGAAAAGTTAAAAGATCCAGTTATAAGAAATGAATTTCAGGCGACGATTGGAAGGAAATTTGCAGCCCTGACTACACTGGATGAAATCAGCTTCGATCTTGAAC